CGCGGAAAGTAGATAGGGGGAGAGAGGAGGGGAGGGGAGGTCGAGGAAGCAGTGCGTAAAACTCACACTTAGCACGGAGACGACGGCGGCGGCGGCCCACTATTGTAGTGTCTAAAGGCCAGAGGCGCCGTGTAGTACCAGGGGCCGCTGGCGGGTATACGCGCGGCAGGGAGACTGCCCTTGCTGGGCTTCGTCCTCCTCGCGCCGCCGCGTTCCCCTTTGTCTCTTCCTCCTCCTTGGCCCCTGGTTCGTTCTTCGTTCAGCACCGAGAAGAGCATCGGGGCCAAAAGGGGGATGGTGGCGGGCAGGAGGGAGGCCAGCGCCGGGAGTGAAACTTTTCCCCGGCCGCGCGCGTGCACGGCCACGGCCAGGCCATACGGTGGGTCCGCGACCCAGGAATAAGCCCAGCCCCCCCGATGTGTGTTTTTCACCTGCAGCAGCCCCTAATGCGGTACGTGTTTGTGCATCCACACTACTACCACAATGCACGCCCCTCCGATGGGGGCGGAGGTGGGGGTAGCGGGAAGGATGGGGCGTGGTGGGGGCCGCGGTGGTAGTGGTGGGGGCGTGTGCTGCGGGGGCGCGGCGCCGGCGCTGGGGGCTGGCCGGGCCGTTCGGTGCGGCAGAAGCCCTCACGTCAGTCGGAGCCATGGCGGGGGACGGTGCGCTCGCCTCCGGGCTGGGCCTGAGCAAAGGCCTCGCCCTGGCGGCGGTGCTCCTCACAGTCCTCGCGGTCTTCGAGGCCGAGTCCGCCGCCGCCCTGCCCAACCTCCCGCCCGGCCTGGCCTACGTCGAGGACCCCGGTAAGCCAAAACCTGCAAAACATTTTTTTAAAATTTTTCGGCTTAGAAAGGGGGATGGGGGTTTTATCTATCTCATGATTATTTTTAAGTTGTACAAAAAATCGTGATTGCCAGATGGAGGGCGCGGACGACTGAAGTCCTCCTTCTGCTTGCGGGGTAATTTTTTTAACGTGTTGCGGTCCCTCTTGTGCGATGCGAGAATAAGGGGAAGGGTTTGGCTTGCAAATCCAAATGCTGGTATCATGTAAATTATGTGTGGCTGTGATGGAAAAAAAATCAGCGGTGTATCGACGCTAACCACAATTCAGCTATCCGAGTGCCACTCTGTATTGTCCAGCCGCACAGCAGCTGTCGCACGTGCCCCAGCATCTGCAGGTGGCTGCGGCGCCGGGAGCCCCGGAGCTGGGCTGCGCTTTGAAGATGGAGGTTGCAGGAATGGCAGGATGCTCGTCCTCACCTCTAGCAGCTGCAGCTGGCGCTCGGAGCTCTGCAGGTGGGCTGCGCTCGGAACTAGAAGAAGGCTGCAGATATGTGGGCCGCTCGGATCCAGCAGCTGCAGGTGGCTGGCGTCTAGAGGGCTGCACTCGGAAATGGAAGCTGCACGGTTGGCGGGATGCTCGGCTTCAGCACACCGCCTTGCTCTGCCTCCTTTGCGGTCTGGGGGCTGGTTGGGGCTGCACGGCGCAGTGATGAGTAAAGTGCGACCGAAATCCTTTCCAGCCGAGAATTTCTTGACAAGAATCCATCTGTTAGCCCGGGCGGGAACTGAGTGCTGAGCAAGGTGGGGCGCGGGGAGAAGGA